TCATATCCGTATAATACCTGATCATGTAAACGACACACCAGAATGATGGGTGAATTTGGTCGAGGGCCACTTGGTATTGTTCGCAGAAGTCGAGGATCACGGGGTCTATCGAAGGCATGGATGGCACCGCCGGGCCAAGGGTAAACGGATAAGTATACACACTGAGGAAGTCGGCTTTATACGTCGTTATATCCTCCCCCCGAGAAGGAACCTCCACTAAAACCACATCTTCCCAGCGACAGACGATTTTCACCCTCTCGATGTCTGTTATTAAACTAACATATCGAGACGCGGGCTCACTTCGCCCCAGCTTCGAAGAAGGTCTTTCGACCTTAAAATCAGAGGTCGTCTCAAAGACCTCTGGAACACATGCTCCAGCACCAGAAGACGTTGTTGCTCTACCCTCAGAGGGGAGTGTGGAAGAGGAAGGCACGTCTTCCTGAGAGATAGAGGTGGAAGTGTTCGCCATCTTTACCAAAAGGTTACAGAGAAGAAACGGAAAATCGCGCTTCAGAAAAGAAAACGGGATAAAGGTAGGAAGGAAGAAAAAACTCTATTGAAGTCTGGTAACACAATAGAAAGGAAGGGGCGAAGGCATGAGTATTTATAGAAGCCTAATTGAGCAGACCAAAAGACAGCCAACTATTATTATTAATTCAAAGATTTTGGGGATTGTGTGGACACTACCTTTAGAAGCCTTGTCTGTTACATCAGTCACCCGGCAAGACGTGACTGTTTGCTTCGATGGAAGCATCGGAGGGGCAAGATCTCGAGATCATTTCTCTTCATTTCACTTTGAAAAACGCGGGGACTATCTGTATTAGGCTAAAATCGGAAAGACCGATTTCACGATCAACGAGACATTGCGCAATTTCACCCCGAGGGGCCGAGGGAATAGCTCGGGGTTCGAAGTCTTCGAGGGCTCTTCATGCCCTATGTCGGGGTAGAACGAACCGTGACTATCACAAGTAAGCGAAAAGTTCCCTAGGAGCAGTATTTTTTCTGACAACGCTTGCACGGACAGTGACAGCCTGCGCCAGGCTGATTGAGTGATTGTACCGGCTACTTATGTAATAATTACGCATGTGTCATATGGGGATTTTCCCTCATCTATAAAGGGGGTCCTTATCATTTTGTAAAGCATATAGACAATACACCACATTCAATACAAGAACATTCTTTCTGCTCTCTAACTCAAACGTACTCTCTATTTGGTTCTGTTGCTTACATTTATTGTTTTACTTACATTTATTATACTTCATTATTGTTCTTCATTTATTGTTCATCATTGGTCATAAAGAGCCGCAATCACAGCTCTAATAACTGTTAATTCTCCATCGACCACCTAAATCGGGCATCTGACTCGACCTCGAGGCCCCGATCTTCAATTGTCCGGTTTGGTTACTAAGCTATCTATAAGCTCTTATCTTATTTTCTAACCTTGTCACTTAGCATCTATTGCCTAACAACTAGCATAAAAATAGATCATATATTTTTAGNATATATATATATATATATATATATATATATATATATATATATATATATATATATATATATATATATATATATAGTCGGCTATTATTTTGGGGACGCTTATATAATATAAAAATCCTTTATTATTGCCAACATGTGCAATGACATAAGAAAATTATGCAATGAGTGACGTCGTACCTATAAAGCACACTACTTGAGAGTCCATTTAGTAGGACCTGGGTGAGTGACATGAGCTGTTTTTCCTAAGTAATACGGAAAAATTAAAAATAAATTAAAAAAATTCTGTCTCCATGAATATGCAAAGCAAATGAAGAAGATTTTAATTTCTACAAATTAATAGTGCAAAAAAAGTTATACTATCATGTTGTGTTGAAGACCCGGTGACTGATAAATATTTATTTTTTTATTATATAGGTAGGTTAGGTTGTTTTACAGCAATTTTATTCTTTCTAGTAAGATCGTAGTGCTCGTAAGATAATGGCCATGTGTTATGCGTCTTGGATGTTTTGTTCGCCGGGAGAGAAATGCGAAGAGTGGGATCTTCTCACATGTGCTCACTTTCGTATAATAAGTTAAATTAAGCTGACAACGATTAAAAAAAAAAGTTATGTAGAGTATATACAATAGAAAAGTAATGCCAGCTTACCTTACTGTCCTAATTTTTACCATGGAAACACAACATTCAGCTTAGAAGTGGCTTTTTCTCAAGCTTAATTATCCTTAATTTCTTGCATAATTCTCAATAACAAAGTACTAAAGCAAATTAAGTAGTTTATATAATGAATGAAGAACAGATATAGGAGAGTTTAAAGGAGAGTGGAACATACATTAATTAGCAGAGATAACGTAATAGAAAATGACAGTCACAGAATGGAAATATACCAAATCAAATTGGCATGTTGCTCTCTTATAATAGTACATTAAAGAAAGAGCGAGTGCCAAATTTGATACAACTTCGTGCGTGTGCCATGATGCTAGCTTTTTCTTTTTGCCTTTTTCTGTTTTTATTGTTTTCAAGTGAATTTTAGCACAAAGAAAATTCAATGATTATTATCAATTCGGTATTTTAAGTTTATGAGTTTTAGATTCGCAATTTTTTAATTTACTGGATTCTAGATAAATATTTATCCATATAAAGTGAATTTTCTTAACATAAATAGAAGTTCTGAAAGAAAAAAAAAACTATTAAGTTCTGCTGATCCCCTAATTTCAACTGTATATCCGCCCCTGATTATTATGATTACATCGGGAAGGAATATTGATTAAATTGATAAATTCTTGTAGTTCGTGGTGTATATATATATATATATATATATATATATATATATATATATATATATATATATATATATATATATATATATATATATGTATTTGGTTGAGTTTTTTCGCGAATATTTCCATTTAAATGGTTTAATTTACCCATACAAATTCTTTGTAGTTTGTGGTATATATATGTAGTTTGAAGTTGGAAGTTGGAAGTTGGATTATTAAAAAAGGGGTAAAATTGGAAAGTAAATATTTAAATGTTGAAGAGAGATGTGCAATATAGGAGAAATTTTGCAGAAGAGTTTCAAAGTGAATTCTATTTGTTGGTCTTACTTTACCAACCAAAGAAAAGGAGTAGGCTCTCTCATTCAATTTCTAGGACCCAATTACAACAGAAACAAAAATACAGACACTTTCACAAACTTGTCATAATTATCAAATGGATGATTAATTTCACTTATAGTCACCAACTTTTTCTACTGTAATATTAAAATTATAAAATTATTTTTTATTGCACTGTAATTGAATTTTACTTACTATAACAGTAAAATAATAAAACTTTATTCTTTAAAAATATAATAATCACAAAATTATTCTTGTCTCATTCAAGTACGTAATTGAATTTTACCTATTATAACAGCAAAATGACTAAACTTTACTCAAATCCACAGCTATAAATTATCGCCGTCAAGAGATTAATGAATCAACAAAACATTTTAAAATCCGTTTTTGCAAATAGTAATTAGAGGAGAATTGACTAAAGTGTAGTTATCCGTAGTTCCAGCGGATTCTTTGTTCTTGCAAATACAATTCTAATTTTATTATTTTGATCTTAACCTAAAATAAAAGAACAACAAAAAAAGCTAATGAACAAGAAAGAAAAAGGGAAAAAAAATATCTCATACTGCACATTAGGGGTGTACAAACCGAACTGGTAAACCGCACCAAATCGAAAAGTCAAACCAAAGCGATTAAAAACCCCGAGTAGGTACAGTTTGATTTGATTTGGTATTGAGTAAAAAAATCCGAATCAAAGTGACATATAAATATATAATTTTTTTATAAACTTTAAGGATTTTCTATAGAATTTTCTTCAAAAAATATCTAAAAATATTTGGGATTCTTTTGCGTGATATAATATTTAATAGAATATGAAGTGCTCCATATATTAACCTTAAATAATGGGCTATATGATCAGTTTCTTATCAAGTGTTACTGAAATGCGTCAATCTCTTTATTCTTTTATATTGATATCATATGTTAAGATCTATTAAATTCTTCCACCCATACTTTTTTCATATTAAGTAATCCAACTATTATCACTGTTAATATTATTACTATACTATCAATAATAAATGGCGAACACCTTACAAAGTACATTTTGAATATGCACCGCACTTCCATGGTACTATTTGAAAAGGTGAAATATTCAGAAACATATTATATCAAACTCTTGCTGCTGGATATATCATCAAGCGAGAACATGAAACAAATCGTTATATTCCTAGTAAAAAAAAAATACATTTTCCTTGGATATTACAATTAAAATGCCGTTTCTCATATCAATTAAAATCTCATTTTCACGTGTTGTCATATCGATGATGTTTAAAGCTATGAGATATTACAAAAGGTATCTTCCCACTAAATCACATGGATGGCCAATTAACGATATAATAATTCTTAATGAATCTTAGGGGTCGTTTGGTAGGGTGTATAAGAATAGTGCGGAATAAGGTGTATTAGTAATGATTAGTAATGCAAGCATTAGTTATGCATTTCTTATCTACTGTTTGGTATGGTGTATTAAAATTATAATGCATTGCATAATTTTTTAAAAACATAGTTGTTTCCAAAAATGCCCTTCATATTCTATAGCTTTAAGGGACTTTTAGGGACAATTATGTCTTTAACCATACTAATGCATACATTAATAGCCTTAATGCCATGGTTTTCTATGTATTACTTATACATAGGATAATACCAAGTATGATATTAATTATACACAGGTTGAAAAGATGTACCAAACAATGTATTAGTAATGCATAAAGTTAATGCTTGCATTATTTTTTTTAATACCTCCTACCAAACGAACCCTTAGTGCCTTAGGCACATCCTTTTGCTTGTGTCATTGCACATGTTGGCAATTCAAATCGGTATTGACAATCATCAGAATAATCCAAGACACTCTCTGACAAAATATCAATGTCCAAATCATACACTTGAAACTTTATCAACAAACTATAAGAACCTCATTTCCACAACAAGATTTTGCAAACTCCCTTCAATATAATTTTGGCCATCAATTGAGAAGAAGTTGCAAAAGATGACTACTCACAAAGCTCATTGCTTGATCTTGCCATATCCAGCTCAGGGTCATATCAACCCTATGCTTCAATTCTCTAAACGTTTACAATCCAAAGGTGTGAAAATCACTATTGCAGCCACCAAATCCTTCTTGAAAAACATGCAAGAATTGTCAACTCCTGTATCAATCGAGGCCATCTCCGATGGCTATGATGATGGAGGCATCTACCAAGCAGAAAGCTTCGCGGCCTATATTACAAGATTCAAAGAAGTTGGCTCTGACACTCTGTCTCAGCTTATTGAAACGTTAACGACTCCTGGTTGTCCTGTGAGTTGCATAGTTTACGATCCATTTCTTCCTTGGGCTGTACAAGTAGCAAAGAAGTTTGGATTAGCTAGTGCTGCTTTTTTTACACAATCTTGTACAGTGGATAACATTTATTACCATGTACATAAAGGGGTTCTAAAACTTCCTCCAACTGACGTTGATGAAGAAATCTCAATTCCTGGATTAGTAACAATTGAGAGTTCAGATGTACCTACTTTTGAAATTAATCCTGAATCAGCAAGAATTCTTGAAATGTTGGTGAATCAATTCTCGAATCTTGATAAAGTGGATTGGGTTCTAATCAACAGCTTCTATGAATTGGAGAAAGAGGTAAGAAATATTTTACTTTTGTTCTTTTCTTTGTTTGTTTGGTCCATTTGGAACTTGTTAATTGGCTACATATATGTTCTTGAATATTCTCATGAAGATTCCAAAACTATACAGCTTTTTCTCTATCTGGTCTTAATATTTCCTTTGTTTAAAAAAGATTGGCACTATTTCCTTATTAGTCCATTTTAAAAAGATTGGCTTCAATATTTCCTTAATAAGAAACATTTATAGCCACACAAGTAATATAATAAGTTTCAGATCACAAGTTTCAAAAGTTATGTTATGACTTAAAGTTTGTGCCAAGTCAAATTAAGACAATATTTTTGAAACTGAGGAATTAACATTTTACTAACAAACTGAACTTATTTCAAAATAGTTTTAAAACACAAAAAGTCATTTATTACAAATTTAAAAAAGCCTACTGTAACAAAATCTTAATTTACATTGTCAGTGTATTCAGATTTAAATAATTACATGATTATCATGTTTCAAATTGTTTGACATGTAGGTAATTGATTGGATGGCCAGGATCTATCCAATCAAGACAATTGGACCAACTATACCATCAATGTACCTAGACAAGAGGCTACCAAATGACAAAGAATATGGCCTTAGTGTGTTCAAACCAATGACAGATGCATGTCTAAACTGGTTAAACCATCAACCAGTTAGCTCAGTAATATATGTATCATTTGGAAGCTTAGCCAAATTAGAACCTGAGCAAATGGAAGAATTAGCATGGGGTTTGAGAAATAGCAACAAGAACTTCTTGTGGGTAGTTAGATCCAATGAAGAGTCCAAACTTCCCAAGAATTATTTAGAGGAATTAAAATTAGCAAGTGAGAATAAAGGCTTAGTGGTGTCATGGTGTCCACAATTACAAGTCTTGGAACACAAATCAATAGGGTGTTTTCTCACGCATTGTGGGTGGAATTCGACTCTGGAAGCGATCAGTTTGGGAGTACCAATGATTGTGATGCCACAATGGTCAGATCAGCCTACAAACGCAAAGCTTGTGAAAGATATTTGGGAGATGGGAGTTAGAGCAAAACAAGATGAGAAAGGAATTGTTAGAAGAGAAGTTATTGAAGAATGTATAAAGATAGTGATGGAAGAAGAGAAAGGAAAATTGATTAAGGAAAATGCAAAGAAATGGAAGGAATTGGCTAAAAATGCTGTGGAGGAAGGTGGAAGTTCAGATAGAAATATTGAAGAATTTGTTTCCAAGTTGGTGACTATTTCATAAATGAGAAGTTAGTTAATTAAAATTATAAAAAATAATAATGAAGAAGCTGATTTATATTTTGCTATTTCTTTTTTTTTTTTTTAGGTTGAACTAGGAAAGTGTTATCTAAATTATATTTTATTTTCACCTTCTTACCTTTTTTGTAATGCAACATGTTGTCATATCTTGTCTATTAGATATTTCTAAATGTAATACTCTAGTAGCTGTTATTCGCCGTCAATCAATTCTTGCCATCACATTCTAACTTTAGCATGTCGTATTATCTTGTCAATTCATTCTCTAATAGTTTGTGAATTTAATTTCACATTTGTGAATTAGATGAGCGAAAATTAGCAGAGTTAGGCCATGTTGTTACTTGATGCAACATACGCTAGAGAAATGTTTAGGGTGATTCTTTAGGAAAATATAAAAAAGGTAATGCAAATCTATATCTATATTATCTATATTATCTATATTCTATCTATATCTTTATATTAAAAGGAGAGTAGTATGCATTGTGATTAAGCCAAGTGGCAAGCTAAAATGAAGCCACTTAGCAATTTTAGGACAACATTAATAATTAAAAATTATATATAGAAACATAATTAATGGAAGTAGTTTAATGAATCTTTTTTTTTTGGTCGAAAGGGAAAATTTTATTTCAACCAATTTGTCAATTTACATCATCTGTTCATTTGGACAGTAGAACAGATCTCATAAGTACACCCAAATAAAAACTATACAACTAAGGTTGCTTAGCTAAATCCTACTACAAATAGACTCTATTTGTCACATGTGTCAAGGATTACATATAGGGCAACTATTGAAAGTCTGCAAAATAGGTATCCATTTAGGTTTCTTCTGTCCAGCAATGTGCACTTGAAGTGCAATCTCCTTTGCTCTATCTTTGGCTTCTCTGCTCAGTTGTTGATACCTTCTTTCATTCCGTTCCATCCAAATGTTGTACACTACTGCTGCAAATACCACTCCTAGCAGTGCCTTCCTTGGATTCCTGTTGTTGACATTGGCAGTTAGCCATTGCAATTCTGCTTCCCAGTAGCCTGTTGTTCTTTGATACTTCAGNAAAAATTAAAAAAATTCAAGCAGCAAAATAAAATCTTACACAAAATATATAAATTTTATAAGATAAGGAAAAAATTAAATAATCACTAAAAAAATATTTTAATAGCAAGAATAATAAAGTCATATTAATATTGACAAATCGGGCAAATGAATATTTTATACGTAAATATTACTACAACATTTAGTTATGATATGTTCAATAGTTATTAAATAATTTTATATGATTAATATTTTAATTGAGTGTAGTTAGTTTAAGTTTAAAATAAAATATTTTTAAAAAAATACGGTCCAATTAAGAAATAGAATGAAAATAATTATTTGAATTTGAGATGAGATTTTTTTAAATGTGATAAGAAAAATCTTATTTTGAAATATGAACAATAAAGTCAAAGCTACTATTGAAATATGTTTAAATTTTATCTATATTATATTAGAATGAGTGCGGTAGAAATAGATATTAAATTAAATAGGCTAATGAAAAGCCACATGACTGTCGACGCCCCCTTTTTTTCTAAGGCGAAAATCGGGTCTACGACATTTGGGAGGACAACTCGTTCCCTTTGGGAATTCGGTTTTGGAATTGAAGAGTCGCCACCTAATGATTAAAGTGCATTAGGACACTAAAAGGGTTTGAGTTTGAAGAACCAGAGTTTGGGTAAGGGCTAAAAATTATCTCGAGGGGAAAGTGTTAGGCACCCCTCAAGATCCACTAGTGTGGTTCCCGGCCATGTTATAATTGTGACTTCACATAATCAAGTAAGCAATTAAGGGCTCAAATAGAAGGGGTTTGCATATAACATTGCAAATAAGCTGAAACTGTGAGGGAAAGTAAAGAGGGCGGAAATTTATGAAAGATTTAAACAATTTCTAAAGAAAGCAGATAAAAAAAAGAAAAGGGAAGGGGGGGGGGGGGTCCTAGGTTCATGATTAATATGGATCACGTTAATGCAATATCCAGTAATCACTCCTCAGAAGAGGGGCTACATGAGATATTAGCGCATCGGTCATCATCTCCATATCTACCCTTCCCACCCCGTTAAGGTATTAAAGCGCGGGATGGTATCGTTACTTATTGCGTGCTATTACCGGTCCCGTCCTATAAGTCCTGGAGGGTATTTAGGACCACTATTCCTATGTGGTAAGGACTAGGCTGAACCCTCAGGTTTAAAAGATAAAATTCTAAGCGACATACATAACAAATAGGACCGCACATAAGGGAACATACAAAGACAAATAAAGGCTCACAGATCCCTCCACAAGTTAACACGTAATTAGCACGTCTCAAACACATTTAAGGTCTCAAAGATGGGAGTAAAAAAAACAGGAACGTTGAAGTTAAAATAGTAGGTTTCAAGAGGACAATCTTATAACCTATCTAGGAAAGCAGAAGGTTCAGTTAAGATCTAAGTGACTTGAAGAATGTTCAATTTTCAGAAACACGACTAAAGACAGCAGTAAGATTTAGAAGTATACAGCAATTTACAATATAAATAAGAAATCATTGAAACACGTTTTTTTTTAAAATAGAATGAGGACATTGAAGATACAGTAACTTGACGAGATCCCATAAGTATTCAAAATAGCACGCTTCTGGGCAGAAAGGGTAACCCAGTAGTTTGAAAACATAATAGAACACACATCAGCGAGAGTAAACAGATGCACAATTTCCAGATTATTTCAAAATAGGGCGGGAGTTTTAGTAAAACGGAGTGAACTTCAGAGAGGCAAAACAAAAAGCAGAGTTCAAAATGTTAAAGGAGGTTGATTGGTCCTAAACTGGTAAAAACACGATTAATCAATTNGACCTTGCCATCCTGCATCAACACTGCACCAAGCCCAATACAGGAAGCATCACAATAGACTGTATAAGGCCCTGATCCTGTGGGCAAAACCAATACCGGTGCCGTAGCCAGAGCTGTCTTGAGCTTCTGAAAGCTCGCCTCACACTCATCCGGCCATCTGAACTAGGCACCCCTTCTGGGTAACCAGGTCATCGGGGCTGCACTAGATGAAAATCCATCCACGAATCGACGATAGTATCCTGCCAATCCCAAGAAACTCCGAATCTCTGTAGCTGATGCTGGTCTAGGCCCGACCGCCTCAATCTTCTTTGGGTTCACCTGAATACCCTCTGCTGATACGACATGACCCAGAAATGCAACTGAACTCAACTAGACCTCACACTCCGAAAACTTGGCGTACAACTGACTATCCTTCAGAGTCTGAAGAACCACACTGAGATGTCGCTCGTGCCCCTCCTGGCTGCGGGAGTATATCAATATATCATCAATGAACACTATCATGAATGAATCCAAATAAGGCCTGAACACTTGGTTCATCAAGTCCATGAAAGTTGCTGGGGCATTTGTCAACCCAAATGACATAACCAAGAACTCATAATGCCCATACCGAGTGCGGAAGGTTGTCTTAGGGACATCGGATGCCCTAATCCTCAACTGATGGTAGCCAGATCTCAAGTCCATCTCTGAAAATACCTTGGCACCCTGAAGCTGACCAAATAGATCGTCAATCCTCGGCATTGGATACTGATTCTTGATTGTAACTTGTTCAATTGCCTATAATCAATGCACATTCACATCGAACTATCCTTTTTCTTCACAAATAACACCGGCGCACCCTAAGGCGAAATGCTGGGTCTAATGAAACCCTTCTCAAGCAAATCCTGCAACTGATCCTTCAACCCTTTCAACTCTAGCGGGGCCATGCGATACGGCGGGATAGAAATGGGCTGAGTGCCCGGAGCCAGATCAATGCAAAAGTCGATATCCCTGTCGGGCGGCATACCCGGCAGTTCTGGACGGAAAACCTCAGGAAACTCACGAATCACGGGCACAGAATCAATAGAGGGAACCTCAGCACTGGAATCACGAACATAAGCCAAATAGGCCAAACACCCCTTCTCGACTATACGCCGAGCCTTCACGTACGAAGTAACACTGCAGGTAGAATGACCTGGAGTCCCTCTCCACTTTAAACGAGGCATACCCGGTAAAACTAAGGTCACCGCCTTGGCATGGCAGTCCAAATTAGCATGGTAAGGTGATAACCAGTCCATCCTCAATATAATGTCGAAGTTAACCATGTCCAACAGCAACAAATCTACTCGAGTCTCAAGACCTCCAATCACCCCAATACAAGAACGATGGGCTCGATCGACCACAATAGAATCACCCACTGGTGCAGACACATAAACAGGAACACTCAATAAATCACTAGGCATGACCAGATGCGGCGCAAAATAAAACCGAAGCTTCTCTACCACAAACCAGAACAGTACCTGTACCTCCGCCTCTAATACCTTTACCTCCACCTCTAATACCTTTACCTCCACCTCTAGTACCTTTACCTCCACAAGCCTTCGAAGACGTAGCTGATCTAACACCGGTTCGCTGCTGCTCGGCTGAAGAAGCGATACATTACCTCGCCATTCACGAGAGGACAAGAGTAGAGGTTTCAATTTAGCACTGAGAGAACAAAAATCACACGACAGGAAAGAATAGAATTGAAACTTTTCCTAACTCTGTAGCCTCTGGGGAATAAATACAGACGTCTCCGTACCGATCCCTCAGACTCTACTAAGCTTGTCTGTGACCTGTGAGACCCATGTAACCTAGAGCTCTGATACCAACTTGTTAGCTCAACCGTCGCACCCACTATCAGCTTGTGGTAGGCGTACCACTCGCTCCCATTTCAATATATCATTTGTGGTAGGCGTACCACTCGCTCCCATTTCAATATCATTTGTGGTAGGCGTACCACCCGCTCCCATTTCATTAACTCAACAGTTCCTCCAAAAGAAAATTTACTCTAACAAACGCAACAATTTAATACGAGTTCATAAGACAACAAGTACACAAAATTTTATGATTCACTAAGGAAAACAAATAATGACAAATAGCAGTTAATTATGGATTATAAGGAGGCAAGTAGACAGTTTAGTAATCAATACGTTGAATGTCGCGTAGCAATTAAGTCACATAAACATGTAGCAATTAAGGCATAAATTCAAGACATAACATTGCGCAAGGGCACCTTGGTTCAATAATAACAAATAACACAAAAAGGGGGAATGTCAACATAAAGGATCACAGAAATAGTGGAATAAGACATTTAATGCACTTGAACTAATAACAACAAGAAATCATAGCAAACGGCAATAAGTGC